CTGGAGTCAGTAAGAAGGAATTAGTTCTGACTTCGCTTCATTGACCATTCATCCCACTTGATAGTAGATGCCTGATGAAATCCTTATGGCGCACCAGGGTAGCCATGTCCGGATGACTCGTCGACTATGTATGACCATAGGGGGCCAGTGAAATGCAAAAGGGCAGGCCCGCCAATGGGTAGTTGACACCATTGAACTGGAACCTGAGAAGCCTGCGGTCGGAGGGATAGATAGGTACATGCAGGTACACATCCTGGAAGTCAGGACTGATCATCGCATCTTGTCAGAGTCATTCTTGGGTACCAGGAAGATGGGAGAGTGAAATCCCGGTGATAGCGCTGGGGCGGGTATAATCTCTACAGCTCACTTCTCCAGCAAAATATCTATGTTGGATCTCAGTAGTTGATCTCTGTAGTAAATGGTGGGTCTACCGTTCAAGCGATAACGATAGCTCATTACGTTTGGTACAAACGCATCCACCAGTCCCATCCAGAAGACCCCCAGCCTTCCACCAATTGGAGTGTTGACAATTGGGACAACTATGGGTGGGAGGTCCCAGTCATGATTGTCCAACGCTTCAGTGCTTCCCCCTCTTATCCCAGCGCCTGCCCTAGAATTTTCCAAAGTGGGGCTGATAAGAGCCTTATATTTGTTTTTTGAGGATTCTTGGACAATAATTGCCTGATCTGCCAGCTCACGGAGACAGGATATGGGAGACATGCTCCGGCGCCTTGAGTGCCGTCCCATCATGAACGTAGTTAGAGTCCTTGGCATGTGTATCCGTAACTTAACGAACTGGCCGACCAACTGACAGGAGAAAACAGTTGAACTTGAGTCCCAATTGGAGAGCGCCATGTTGCCAAGCCTGAGTGTAGCCGAATATCTGCAAGGGCTGCTCTGAGGTAGTTCCTCATGTGGTCTATTTGATGTTGTTGGAAATCTACCACAGTCTGAAAATGGTCTAGGCAATAAGGATTAAAGAGTGCTTAGACAAAGTGCCAGGTGAGGCCGAGCCGTGAGATGAAACCCAAGTATGGGAAGTAGCGTTGGAGCTTGCGGACGGCGTACTGGTTGACATGGAGCACTCAGCTGGAAATGCTGGTGTCTGGTGTGCAGCTGGCGTACAAACGCTTGGGTTGTCTGAGGCGGAGGAGTCGCTGCTGACAACAGAGGCTGGAACACATATGCAGGCGCCGGGTACATCAGTGACATGGACTGCTGCCACATGGACTTCTGCGAATCCAACATACTCATCGCATGCGGATGGGACTGCTCTAGTATATGTCTATGAGTGACCAAAACAGGGCACAACATGTCTGTTGGGCGACAAGCAGGAATGTTACTAAGAGTGAGTGAGTGAGTGAGTTGGGTTTAACGCTGCTTTTAACAGTATTCCAGTTATATCACGGCGTGTCAGCTTGATGTGTGAGGAAAGCCCGAAGTGATGCAGGTCTCAGACGTTTACCACTTCGGTGAAACCCACGAGCACGGGTATGGCTAGAAACATAATTGGGGGGAACCGGGATTCGAACCCACAATCATAGCTTTCTGGCGTGCCCAAGGGAAGCAACTCTGCACCGCGAATCGCGGCACCTTAGACAACCGGGCCACCCATGCCCCCAATGTTACTAAGAAAGTGTTATACCAAATATTACATTTGTCACATTTGACGAACTTTTGGCCATGGGAGCTGTTTCAATTTACTAGAATCAGTACTTTACAGAGAAAGTAATATCCCAAATATAGCATTGACCACTTTCTAAATGGCATTGTGTGCTCAAGCAGGAATGTAATCAGATCGGATGGTCACATGACAGCTGCAATGGGTCTTTGCAATATTAGACCGAAGGTGAAAACAACCTTTTTCCTTCATCTAGTACCATCGCTAGACGCTGTCTTCTTTGTTGTAAGGTAAGCAGTAGATGCGTTAAGGAGTAATGCAGGATAAGTAAATAATTATATTTTTTATACAAATCAAAAGCGTAGGTGGCACTTCAAATCAATATTATCTATCACAAAGAAACACAAAAGACACCACATATCATATCTTATGATACAGTACACAGTTTGCACTGTTGAAAAACATAAATCTTTTTGGAGAAAAAACAGTTTCCAAAATAATCAGTGATAAATATCCATTATTATATCCCTGCAGTATATGTAATGTCAATAGAAAGTACTCAGATCAAAATAACAAGTACCTACATTTCAACAATACTTTTTCATTTGCAGACATACTGAATGTCTGATTCAAATGCTTGAGAAGATGTTTACCGTGACTAGATGTCTTGAGTCCTACTACCAACAACACACATACCAAATTTCATTTCATTTCATTTTGAACAAGAGTGGCCACAACAGGTGTTTCAGTATGGCTGCTATAGTGTTATATTGAAAATCGGCTCAGAAAAACTTGAACAAATCGCAGTGTCATCATTGGTGGGAACAAGCTTGTAAAGTTTTGGTGGAGCTGTTTCGGAGAAAGAAGATATTTACAATTGAGGACACATGACAGACATCAATGCCACAACATAAGTTCACTCGACTTTTGGTCAGGGTCACATCCTCGAGAAGATACAAAGTCTGGTAATGCCTTAATGCTTTTTAGGAATGCTTGGTTTGTGTTTGCACTAATCTGGTGACCCTGGAAATCAAATGACACATTTGGTAGGACTACCTCTCATGTCAATTATCTTACTGGCAGTGATCACCGTTTTACCAAATATGAATGTAGTCCTGAATCACAGCAGCACTTTACTATTCGGGGTGGGATGGGTAACTCGGGTTGGTATTGAGTAGACCAGGGGTCCGGAAACCGTCATATGCGCCGGACATGTCCGATTGGGAATCTCAAATGTCTGTTTTAAAATATTGCTTACCGGACATTTTAAAAAGTATTGTCCGGACATTCTTAAATTTTGACCGGACATGATCAACAGTTAGGACTGAGCAGTTTCTGTCTGCAGTTGCAACACAATGAAGATTAACTACACTGACAAGCTTTGTTTGTTTTGATTGCTGAAAATACATTGTACCTACATGATAGTCCAATCGGTCAATCACTGTAATAGGCAATAAACTGAGTTGACACTGATTAATCGAGGATTAATTACTGAGAACATCTTGTTAATTTGAGTGAAAGGTGTTTACAACTGTACATTAATACCTTGCATCATCGATGTACCTCATTATCCTCACAATGCTACGATACGTAACCTCAGACAAGAAGCGAAAGCGTGACGACAGCTAGTCGACCGTTGCAGATCAGTCGAGCGGATCTGCCAAACCCTCAAAGTCTGGACGATCATTTTGTAAGTCGTGGCTAACGACTTTCACTTGGTTGACATACAATGAGGATTTGCAGATTTTATTGTTTTCAGTAGCTAGTCGTATATTGAATCTTGATTGACCGCCATTTTGCTTTCTCGGACGATCGATATCCAATTTTTTTATGGTCAATAATTAAGTACAGATGAAAAAAGTATTCAAATAACTATTGCTATCAACGATATTTTAGTATTTGTGATTAAATTATCTGTCTTGTTTTTAAGAAAATCTTTAGTTTAAAAAAAACTTTTCCCGTGAGGTCACGTGATAACCAAATATGGGATAATAGTCTCGATCCAAATGTTACAACGCGTACACTTGAGCAGACTCATGAATATGACTCATGAATATTAATTAGACCGTTCACTACGTTAACAGACCGTTATTATAACAGAAACAAACGTATGTTTTCCATGTAAATCTAAAATGATATTATTTGTTATTAATTGTCCGGTGAATTAAACAATTTAAATTGAAACAATTCATAATTCATCATATTATGAATACTTAAACTTGTAATGTGTGTGAAAAGTCGTACTAAAATACGCTATTTGAAGGGGGCGTGGCCTAAATGCAAATGTCCGATTGGGATTTTAAATTTTCCGGACCCCTGGAGTAGACCCAGGTACCCACAAGACTACCTGGACCCGTGGTTAGTCATGTGACACAGTGTTTAATGACATAAATTCACTATAACTGCATAGTGCAAGAACAAGTCACCAATGTTCTCTTTTTTTTCTGACTATGCACATGTACCTTCTGACTTTTGTATGTTTGAAAAAAGATAAAGCTTCAGTCAACTTCAGTGTATGCATGACCATATCGTTTAATACATGTAACTGATTACTTTTTGTAAAACAATTCACAAGCAGACATTTTATACCCATCTCTTGAGACCTATAGCAGGTACCTCAGTGGTGTTGGGTAATAATAGGGTTGGGGTATCAAGGTTTTCAATTTGGACTCGTCCCAGCCCTATTTACTATCAAAGAAAGAAGTTTCTATTTAATGGCTAACTAATATAAACACGTACGTGATCAGCTGTATTTAAGAAATAAACGACGAGTGGGAGTTGTTTATCATACAATAAAACACTTCAGGGAGAATAAACCATGAGGGGCACAGCCCCAAGTGGTTTATTCTCCATACACTGTTTTATTGTATGACAAACAACAACAAGTCATTTATTTCTTATATGAGATATCAACATTATGTACAGCCTGTTGATAAAACGTACAAGCTTTATAAATATTAACCCCTATTTAAATAATGATGACCCCCTCAACAGAATCCGACCTCGGCAACGTCAGACAAGTACATTTTATGCACAGGTGGGTATTTGCGGCATATTCTCACAATCCTCACGTCGATTACCTGTACCTTTTCTCCCAATACCAATTGTTGTATCTCTCCCAGTTTTGGATGAGTACATTCGGCCATAGCGTTTATCTGCGTTGCCCAGGTACATCTATGGGGAACAACTCACTAGACACTCCCCTCTCAAAAATAACATCGTCAAACATACAACATCAACAAGTTGTGAGCATATGTTCGAATCTCCTGAAATGACGTCATGATAGAACAATGTTTCATTGTGAAATATACCACACTTCGTTCTCCATTGTTCTTTGCGATTCATCGCGTAATTATCTTATACATAATGATATCCTCACCTGTTAGAGACTGTACATGAGCTTTGAGCTGGGATGCTGTACTATCAAGCGGAAAATTCACATCATATTTCTGCTTGTTAAATATCACTTTGAATTCAACACTGTTTTCAGCACTTTGATCTGAAAATAAAAAAAGACCTAGTTTACCTGAGATGTATCATTTTGGCAGTAAGCAAATGTAAAGCAAAACTGAAGTCTTGGTCTTATCTTCTTTTAAGCATCTAGCATTAAATGTGAGACCAAGTGATATTCTGCTGTAAATGCATATTCATTACATTAAAGTATCTGCTTCCCATGTCATGCAGTGTCCGAGAACAGGTTTTTATCAACCCAAACACAATAGTTAACCAGAAAACTTAGGATAGATGACAATTTGTGTAAATGTTTATGAAGTATTTGTTGATTCATCAACATGATCAAAGGAAAAAGCTCTACTGCTCTTGGGGTTTCACTTGGAGTCATGGACACTGCACACAAACAGGTGCACTAAATGAAACAGTTACATAATGTAAAGGGATAGCTTACTTGTGACTAAGCAAACAAGGATGATTAAAGACGCAGTTTTTAAATTTTGGCAATGAAGAGCGATATATAAGAAGAACGAACCTGAAGTTATATTGCCTGCCAAGTTATTAGTGGTGGGGTACAGTGACATATATAAGATACAAGCCAGGGACAGTTTCAAGGTTAGTCAGTGCTCATACACACTACAGGGCTTCATCTGTCTTCCATGTATGAAAAGACTACATGAGCAAGTTCTCTCTGTGAATAATACCTGTTTCTTGCGTTAATACATTTCCTGACTCCGTGATGGTTCCTCTAGTTGTTTCATCTGAACCACCAGGATCAGGGCTTTTGTCACTCATTCCTAAACTTGAGTTGGCATTGGAATTGCTCTCTGTCAGTAAATCAGGAGTATCTTTGACTGGCTTGCCTTCTTCAGTTGTAGGGCTTTTATCTAAAACATGCAAAACTCATATAACAATGCATTTCAACACATACCTGCAGTTACCCTTTTTTTCTAATGTACATCTTAATATCAATGTATTTACTTAATCTCCGTATATTTACACTTGATAGAGGGGAACAATGTTTCTTGTTTTGTCACTTTCAGTCAGGCAGGCAATAAGCAGCATGTTTCAGCATGTTTGACAATGACAAGTTCAATCATGTAAGTAACCACAACAAACTTGTGTCAAAGCTGTAGATAGTTTTAAATTCATAAACACAATAGCAGTTGTATGAATTACAATCAAAACAACAAGAAACAGGTAGTAAAAACAACAAGAAAGAGGTAGTTTACATAACTGTTGACATGTGAAGATTCCGGGGTAGAATAGGTCTTCAGCAACAAATGCTTGCTGTAAAAGGTGACTATGCTGGTCGTAAGAGGTGACTAACGGGATCGGGTGGTCAGACTCACTGAATTGGTTGATGCATGTCATCAATCCCAATTGCATGGATCGATGCTCATGATATTAATCACTGGATTGTCTGGTCCAGACTTGATTATTTACAGACCGCCGTCATATAGCTAGAATATTGCTGAGTGCTGCGTTAAACAACAAACCAACCAACCAACATAACTGTTAGTATCAATCAGCAGGAATTAGCTGAAGCAATTTTTCATTGGTTAGTCAGTTGACTTGTGGGATACAAGGGATGAACTCTTCAGAACTTAGAATAATGTGTCACTGCACATGCCAAATTTTAGGTAAATAGGTTCTTAAACCACAGGCACATGCCTACAATGAGTATATGGTTTTGGCCATCTGCCTCATAAATAAATCTACACAACATAAGTGTTCTTTGTGTTCGGTAAATGTTTCCAAGGCCTACCTTTAGAATTCAGCACCACAAAGTCTACAAACACATCACCCTATGATGTAATATGTAAAATCTTGTTGCAAACCACACTGGCGATTCAATGCCATGTTATGTCAGCCTAGCAACAAGGTTGCTGGGGTCATTGAGTGTACAAACACTCCTCTCAGTGATGTATCATCTCTATCATCTATCATTGAATAAGCCCAGAATGTTGAGAGTAGTTAATTAAAGCACTTTTAGTTTCAATACATTTTATATTTAGGTTTCAACTAAATTGATGGAGCTAAAAGGATTATAAATGGGAACTAACATACACATATTTGTTTTTCAATTTAGCAATTTTCATTATTATTCACAGGAATGCAGGTTATTAGGTACAATATCCGAATATATTCTCTATTTAATACTTAGCCTGCATTACATTATGCACATTGTTGCTTTCAGGTCAAAAGTATCCATGGAAAGAAGACTTCAGAAGATTGTATTCTTGATATAAATAAAGTTGTTGAACCAGTTGTATCCCAATGATCGCTCCCTGGAGTTGCCTCCCAAGCCCCTTTGTGATCATTGAGTTTCTTGAGCTCTCCAAAAGTAGGAGTGGGGATGGAAAACAGCAGTCCAAGGGTGGGTACATAGAAATGTAATGAAGGCTATGTCTTATATAGAGAATATATTCTGATATTCTAATATTTTTTAATTAGCCAGCATTACATTATGTATAAGCCTGTATCTAATGGTGGTGCCTACCTACAGGAAAGACTAAGAACAACACATTTATGGTGTCATCCAGGCCTCATACTGGAAAGTGTCCGAGACAAAAAGTGTGGCACGTGTGTTTACTTAAAAACCAATGAAATAGTATTTTACCCATACAAAAACATTCCAAAATTTAGTGAAAAGTTATTGAATGAAGGATAATTTCTGCCTCCATGAAAACAGGTGACAAAGTGTGGTTTACTACAAATTCACCCATCCTACTGAACAGCAGACAAGTGGGGAAAGGACACAGGAAATGGTGCTATGTATGTACATCCCTGTATGCAAGGTGAACGTCTGACGGATGTAAAGAACATGGAAGCAAGAAGTAAGACAACTTACTCTGCCTTCATCCCTCGATTGGAAGCGGCATTGACGAGTGAAGGGAACACCCGGCGTCAGGGCATATCCATGGTGTCTTCGGGGGTTTGGGTGATGAGTGTGTGACCACCATCAGTCAGAAAAAACATGTGATACACTTGACGACTGAGACAAATGAATTTCATATTGAAAACCATTGAAATAGTATATTATTCAAACATTCGGGGATCTCGTACGAAAAACATCAGTACTATCCCCAAGACTGTTGCACACAAGGTGAACGTCTTATATGGTAGTATAGAGTATGGAGGCAAACGTTAAGTCCACTTACTCTGCATTCGTCCCTGGATCATAGATGCCAGTGGCAACAAGTGGAGGGGGCAGGACGGGGGGCAGGACGGGGGGCAGGACGGGAGGCCAGCAGAGGTGTCTTCGAGGGTTGGTGACCACCAAAGATCCGAAACTGAGTATGCCGTTCACGTTTTCTACCAAGATGTTGCAGAGGTAGCCACTGGAGACGATTGTGTTCGATTCCAAGAAGCAGCCCTGCCTGGTGGACTGAAAAGAACAGTTGCCCTGCAATGTCAAGATGGATGCAAGGTCTCGTGGGGGAATTAAGTCTGGGATGTTCAAGTCCCGCATCGTTATAGGCTGGCAGGATGGTACCACATAACCAGAAGGCCACCGTGTTTCTGGTGATATCACCTGCGCAGGTCATGACCATGGGGAGAGAGAGACGATGTCTATTTTCCCGTCTTGAGGCCGATGCTGCTATTTAGGCTTTTATAGCTCTGATAGGTCATTGTAAACTTGGTCTTCGTCTTTGAATTTGACAATGGAGGAGAGCGGCGGGAACGTGAAGAGCCTGTCAGGTTGGCCTGGTTGTTGATTCTTAGCTATAAAATCCACACAAAGGTCAAGATGTATGGAACTCTGTCTACTCTGTTTGAACTGAACCCTGGTGACATGAAGGTCGTGCAGTTCGCTGACTTTGGCTACCGTTGCCAATGTCAAGAGAAAAAACATACAGTTCACACACAACATAGGAATGTGCAATTTTAGAAGACAATTTTCTTTCAGTGGCATTTAGAAGTTGGTATATCGAACATGGGAGATAGTTCAATGCATACACAACTTCTTTATTACAATGAATGCGACATTCAGTGTTGATAATAACATCGTTATCAAGCAAGTGATGTACAGAAATCAAACAATAGATATCATTGTGTATAATTCTAATACATCATTGCCATAAATTCCTGTTTGGGCTGTCAATCACACAGTAAATTTATTTAAACTTTCAACAGCCATCCTCTCCACTGCCAATCTATCAATATCGTTGTGAGGAAAATCCTATCCCTGGCAGAAAGCGAAAGGCAGAAACACATCACTTCTTTCACCCATAATCCTAATACACTAGATGCATGCAGATAATTTGGGGATGTGGGAAGGACTAATTTCTGACGTAATGAAGGTAGTATTCTTAGAATAATACACAATGATAACTATTGTTTGAAATTCCTTTGAATACCCTACCTCCATTACATCATTGCCAGAATAAACCAGAGGAACTGGTGGGATCTGGCATCTAGTATCCCTTGATAGCAGTTGAAAGGGAAATATACTGAACAACAAAAGTTCCTGTGACATAGAATAAGATTGAATGCAAAGTTATGCTTTTTACCCAATCTGAAACAATTTTGGTTTGCAATAGATAAAAGACTCCTGTATGTGTTCAAATGGTTTAATTTGCCATACTGACTTCAGAAAATGCGTGATTTCATAAAAAAACATGAACATGCCAAAATGTAAATTTACAATTCAATAGCGTGTGTGTCCACCTCTGGTTGCGATGCAAGCAACACATCTTCGTCTCATGAAATGGACCAGGCGTCGCACAAAGTCCTCTGGGATATCTGTCCATATCTGCTGGAGCATGTTTCGAAGTTCCTGGAGTGTCTGTGGAACATGTGGATGACGTCGAAGGTTCCTTTCCATCTCATCCGACATGTGCTCGATTGGGGAAGAGGTCAGGGGAGCCAGCAGGCCAGGGGATGACATTCATGTTGTTTTGTTGAAGAGAATCCCAATCTCATTAAAATCAGATCTTAGTTCTCGCTATCGCTAAACAAAGATCTGAGGACATCCCATTAGGGGTCACGTCAGAGCGACCTTTCATCCAACCAATCACAGCGTCGTTTACCAGATCATGAAAGTGACAGTCGGAATGTGTTTTCTAATCATGCAACCACGATATATTTAACACAGGGTATTCCGAACGACAGTTACAGGTTTTATGATTATATCCATACAATCTATGCCATCTATAAGCCATTCCAGAATGTTCTTCTTATCAGTTTTAATATTTTTAACAGAGAATACGTAAAAATATGTAACGAAGCGTAGTCGCCAGTTTGAAACTAGTGTCGTAAAGCTCGAGAAAGCTGCCTTCTGATTGGCCAATGTCGATTTCTTGTCAGTCATTTCATTGGTCGGTCAAAATTCGTGAAAGGTCGTTCTGACGTGACCCGTAATGGGATGTCCTCAGATCTTTGTTTAGCGGTACCGAAAACTAAGATCTGATTTTAATGAGATTGAGAGAATCCTAAACAAGTCGAGCAATATGAGGCCAGGCTTGTCATGTTGAAAGGTAATGCATGGGCCATGACGACGCAAAAATGGTGTAACAACAGGGCCGATGATTTGTCGCGGTAGCGCTGTCGATTGGGATTTCCCTCTACCACTATCAAACGGGTCCTCTGTCTTGCTGTAATCCCACCCCATACCATAACGCTGCCGTCCCTGAAAAGATCTTCTTCCATGACACAATGATCGACGTAACGTTCACTTTGACGTCGGTACACTCGAATCCGTCCATCGCTGTGGCTGAGGTGAAAACGAGACTCGTCAGTGAATAGAACTTGTCCCCACTGCATGGCCATCCAGCGTAGACGCTGTCTGCACCACTGTAGACGTGCTTGATGGTGGTTTCCTGTCAAAATGGGACGTCTGGTGGGTCTTCTGGCGACAATCCCTGCACATCTGAGGCAACAA